ATATATATATATACACACACACACACATATATATATATATATATGTATATATATATATATTTTTTTTTTTGGTCTTTTTTTTTCTTTTTTCACAGTTCAGAAAAAAAAAGTGATGGCTGCATGTTGACTACACAGTCAACAAATAAATAAATAAATTAGGTAATTAATTTATATATATGCTCCACCCATATGGGTGTAAATAACAAGTTATTGTACAACTTTCAATTATATTTGCTGTAAAATCCGACAGATCAAGCATGCGTGCAGGTGTGTGTGTGTGCGCGCGCGTGTGTGTGTGTGTGCGTGCGTTAAAGAGCGGGAGTACAGAGTGAAGGTACACGTCTTGCCCTCCTCGTGCCCCCTCCATCAGAGCATCTGCTGGCTGTGCTGGGCTCTGAAGGGGTGGGGGAGGGTCAGGTGATGGGGAGAGAAAAGCAGTGGTTTCTATTCATGTCATGGCGCCTTTCATTGCAGGAAGATGGATTTAACTGTGTCATTTCTTCATTCTGTCTCCTCCTAACCTTTCAGGTCAGATTGCAGGAGACCGTTGGAGAGAGGCTGTCACGTGACCCCCGGTACCAAATGGTCTTCCGGCCGTGGTTTTCATTAAGGACTGGAGCACAACAAGAAGCTGCCGCCTCCCTCAGACATGCAGAAGACAACGTACTACGACAACTCTCCAACACTCTTTGGTGGCTACTCTTCATACCAGGTGCAAGGAGCCGGAGCGGCCCCTGCCAATGGCTTTGGGGGCTACGATGCCCCCGTCTCAGTGTCCCACCAACAGCCTGCCTTCCAGTCAGCCACCCATCTGGATGTGGAGTCGTACCAGCACTCTGCCTGCTCCTTGCAGTCTCTGGGCAGTAATGGTGGTCACCAGCAGCAGCTAGCCAAGACCAAGGAGCTGAACGGCAACTGCATGAGGCCCAGCCTGCCGCCTGAGCACCACCCTGCCGCCCAGGTGTCCCCCCCACTGCCCCCAAATCCCAGCAACGGTAGCGCTACAGCTCCGCAACCAGGGGGCAGCACTGGGCCCTCTGCCGTCTCCAAGTCAGGCCTCAATAAGTCATCAATCTCCTCTTCCTCTTCATCATCTTCCACGTCCTCCTCATCTTCTCTGCCACCCAACCCAACGCTGGCAAAGCAGATCTTTCCCTGGATGAAAGAGTGTCGACAAACCATCAAGCAGAAAAATGGTTCTCCCAGCAACAACTCTGGCAATGGTGTGTTACTTTACACCTATTGTTCTTCTCTTTTTCTGCACTGGAGCAGCGAGACAGTCCACCTCTGTCTTATCAGCTGCTTCTGTCCTCTGTTCAGTCTACATTAACATCCCTCTGCACCCTGCCTTCTCCTCACCATCACCATGCCCCTCATTCACACCTTTCTTATCAACGTCCTCTTTCTGCACTCAGGTCTCTGGAGAATTTCAAATGCTTCCACAGAGTAGTTCTTTTGAAAACATTTTGGAGGCAAGGAAGTGACTGAATGCATCCATCACTTCCTTTTGGTTTGTCATGGTATAGATTCACCACATTTAAATTATCCTTCAGTGAGAAATGAGTTGTAGCCAATCAGGTCTAACCTTGAAAATAAAGTTAACTCGTGCGATATTGTGAGATGGACCCCTGTGACCCAAAATGGAAGAAGTGCATAAAAGATAATGGATGGATGGAAATTGTGAGATGTCACCCTCAGATGTTGTAAATGACTCACAGTACAATTTTAGCTCATATCTGTAAAACAGATTAAATTATAGCCATTTGTGTGTTAGCTAACATCAATTTGCGGAGGCAGCCTCCTCCAGTTGGCTTGACTTTAATAGTTAATGTCCATCAATGAACACCAAGTTGGCTCATGGGATATCTTGACAATACGCAAACATCAGTACAGGAAATTTGTGGCTTCACTTCCTGTTGAAAAACATTTCAGAGTTGTTTTTAAACTCTTCTGAAAATGAGTGAGGAGGGCTTAAAATATTGTTCACAGTGTTATCATCGGAGGAACTCTGTTAAGTTCTGATGTTGGTAGCTCAGTGTGTCAGGTGATCATGCTGAGATTGTGAGTTCGAGCCAGGAAGAACATCTGGTGTCAAACAATTTCCAAGTTTTCATGCAAGCTCCCTGACTGTGGTGAGCCCTAAAGAAGGAAGCAGCCAAAAGAATAAAACACCCGTTAAAATGAGTTCAGGCAGCGACCAGGGCCGTTCTACTAAACTGCTCAGGGCAACAGCTACTGAAAGACAATAGCTAAGGGGCCGGACATCCAGCTAAGTTTGTTTCGCAATTTTAAATCTAGTTTTAGTTAAAAATGAACTCATTGTGGGCCGAACTGAGCTCACCCGTGGGCCTGATTTGGCCCCCGGACCACCAGTTGAATAGCCGTGTACTGGACTGTGACAATATTTATTTTATCAGGTTGAGTTTTCACCGGTAGCTTAGCTTAAAAAAAAAAAAAAAACTTTTAGATTACTGTGAACGTTAGCAGCCCACATCCTGATGCTAAAATTATTAAACAATAAACAAGAAAAATAGGTGTTTGCAAAAATGCATGGTTACTTATTACAAAAAGCCTGAACTAAAACATTAAAATGAAAAAAATCAGAACAGAAAATAAAAACTAAAATCCTCAAAACAAATGCTAAAATCTAACAAATTTTAAACTAAAGGAAAAAATAGCTAAACTAAATCTTAAAGCTACAATGAGCAAACATTTAACAAACATGTAAGTAGATCAAAGCAAAACTGATGAAAACAGTGGCTAAAATCTAAGACCAACATTCTAATAGTTAAAAATTAACTAAATTGAACCCACTAGTTAAAATAACTAATCAAGAGCTATAGCTAAAATCCACAAAATTGTAGTTTAAAGATAATTTTATAAAATTGTAACTAAAAGTTCAAATTAGCCACACAGCTAAAAGCTAAGAGTAGAAAATTCATAGCTAAAAGCTGAAACTGATGAATTTGTAAAATTCAAGAAGTAATGTTTCTCAAGAGATCTCAAGTTTTTTTTTTTTCTATAAGAAAAACTCAGTAAATGAAGGAAAATAAATGAAAAAGTATAAAAGTTACAAACAAACTAACTTCATGGACACGATGTCCTGAATGGGATAAACACATGTCTTTTTGAACATTATAATAAAGCGTGTTTGTCCCAGGAATACAAAAAAAATTCTTAAAGTGTGTTTGTCCCAAAAACATTCAGAAAAACCAACAACAGTGTGAATGCTGACTCAGCATTTACACACCAAGTCTTTTTTATTTCACTAAAACAAAATAACACAAGCAATAAAAGAAAAATACAATGAACTGGACAGAATGGCTGTTTTTAAAAACTTTTTTTAAGTTAATAAACAGTTTCTTATAAGATAAATTTAGCTGGCAAACACATATTTTAAATGCTGAAATCAAACTTAAATCACATTGCATGTATATGACCAGACATACATAAATCTGTCTCAAATTAATCTGTTGTTTAAGAAAAACAGTTTGGTTGAGTTAAGAAAAAAGTCAAAAACTTTGATTTCTGCTGGAACAAGCTCACCGGAGATAAGCTTGGCAGGAAGTGCTGAAAGAAAAGCAACATTTTTATTTATTGTCTAAAACAGAGTCAGAGGACAAAAGGTCGAAACTTGTTTCAAAATGTGATTTAAGCTTAAAACTGATGAAGCAAATCAAGAAGAAAAACATTTAAAGGACAGCAGTCTGAAGCTTCTGCACCATGTCTTTTCCTTATCTTCTCTTTCCACCCCCCCCCCCCCCCCCCCCCCCCCCCCACCCCCCCACACACACACACACACCTTCTCTTCGATCTTTGCAGCTGACAACAGTCAAATCCAGACATTAGCCATAGCCGTTAGCTTCTCTCCCAGGAAAAACATTTATAATATTTAAAGTAGAAAATAAGAACAACTGGGCAAAACACACAATCAATTATAAACATCAAAATCATCTAATGATGGGCAAAAAGCACTTGTAGTCTGATAAACCAATTAAAGTTATTAATGACTGAAGAACATTTTAATAAAAATCAGATGATATGTATACATAAACATATTTTAATAGAGCTGAGAGAACATCAACAGGATAGTTTGTTTGTTTGTTTGTTTTTGCAGTTTGACAGATTTGTGGAGATTTTTTAGCTAGCTCACGCTGCGTGAACAGACAGGCCTGGGTTGCTACAAGGATGTTGTTTTTGATTGAATCTTGTAAACATCACAACAACAACAGTGTTGTGCAGTGTAAAAACCTTTAACTTGAACTCCTGGGACAGTTTTGAGATGATTGATCTAATCCCACACAAGAAATCTTTCCTGATTTTCCAAACTGAAAAGTTGCTTTAGCTGCTGCCTACTGCAGGTATGATACTGACCACTCCACAAAACCTCTTGTTAAATAAGAAACAAGATCACAGCGAGACCTTTTAATAACAAGTCAAACAGTAGATAATTTTCTTAGTTGTGTTTTTGTAACTCTACAGCTGTTGGCTCTGCCATGAAATAACTGAGGCAAGAAAACATCCATCCATCCCTCCATCCATCCATCCATCATCTTTACCCGCTTATTCCATTTTGGGTCACGGGGGTCACTGGTGCCCATGTCCAGCAATCACTGTGCGAGGGGCGGGGTATACCGTGGACGGGTCGCAAGTCCATCACAGGGCCACATAGAGACAAACGAGAAAAAAACATTCACTCTCTCACTCACACCTAGGGACAATTTAGAGTTACCAATCAGCCTAACATGCATGTTTTTGGTCTGTGGGTGGAAACCGGAGGACCCGGAGAAAACCCACACATGCACGGAGAGAACATGCAAACTCCACCCAGAAAGGCCCCTGGACCGGGGTTTGAACAAAGGACCTGCTCGCTGAGAGGCAGCAGCTCTACCAGTTGCGCCACCGTGCTGCGCAAGAAAACATCTGTTATCCAAACATAGAAAAAGAGTTTGGACTAATTATAAATAAAAATTAATTTCAGAAATTTAAAGAAAGGTTTGCTCTCTGACCATCTTAACATCAAATTTCTAGCTTTTTAAGATTAATTGAGTGAATGTGCAGTTAGATTTTGATAAATGTGGATGCAGACTTATCTTTAAGTGAGCTTCTTCCTTTTAAAATTGTTTTTGTTTCAGGATATAAGATTGTATAAGACAGACTTTATTTCACATTGAATCAACAAGAATATTTAGGACCCCACATACTCCATACTTATTATAATTTTCCACCCAGTTTTTCCTTAAAACTTATTTAAAAAAATGTACATGTTTAAATATGTAAAAGAGTGTTAGGAACATTTTGAACTTTTTGACTCGTAAATTAAAATTTGAGCAGTTTTTTCTTTCTGTTGGAAAAGATATGTTGTAGGTAACGACGCGCTAAAAGTGAAACCATCCGTCCATTAACTTTTACCCACTTCTTCCATTTTGGGTCACGGGGGACGCCGGTGCCCATGTCCAGTAATCACTGTGTGAGGGACGGGCGTACACCCTGGACGGGTCGCAAGTCCATCACAGGGCCACATAGAGACAAACAACCATTCACTCTCTCACTCTCACCTAGGGACAATTTAGAGTTACCAATCAGCCTAACATGCATGTTTTTGGTCTGTGGGAGGAAATCGGAGTGCCCGGAGAAAACCCACGCGTGCACGGAGAGAACATGCTAACTCCACCCAGAAAGGCCCCCGGACCAGGATTTGAACCAGGGATCTGCTCGCTGAGAGGCAGCAGCTCTACCAGTTGTGCCACCATGCTGCCCCTAAAAATCAAACATTAGATTTATTTAACTTTGTCATATCAAATGTTTTCTAATGTAAAAAGCAAAAGATGTGCAAGTCTCCTACAAACACATGGAAGAAAACAGCATAAAGTGCAGCAGCACCTCCTGGTCAATCAGAAATGCACCTCTGCATGGTTTATTTATTTATTTGTATTTATTCAACCTTTATTTATACAGGTAGTCTCACTGAGTCACAAGGACTCATTTACAAGAGACCAGTTTTAGATAGACAACATATAAAATACAGACAGCAATATACAACACCATACAACAATAAATGCAATTAAAATAATAATAGTGTTATAAAACACTGTTACTGTTAGCAGAGTGGTCCTGTTACCAAAGTGGTGCTGTCAGCAGTGTGGTCCTGTGAGCAGTGTGGTTCTAATAGCAGCATGATCCTGTTAGCAGCATGGCACTGTTAGCAGAGTGGTCCTGTTAGCAGCATGATCCTGTTAGCAGAGTGGTTCTGTTAGCAGAGTGGCCCTGTTTGCAGCCTGGTCCTCTTAGCAGAGTGGCCCTGTTTGCAGCATGATCCTGTTAACAGCATGGTCCTGTTAGCAGAGTGATTCTGTTAGCAGCATGGTCCTGTTAGCAGAGTGGCCCTGTTTGCAGCACGGTCCTGTTAACAGCATGGTCCTGTTAGCAGAGTGGTTCTGTTAGCAGCATGGTCTTGTTAGCAGAGTAGTATTGTTTGCAGCATGATCATGTTAGCAGCATGGCCCTGTTAGCAGAGTTCCCCTGTTTGCAGCATGGTCTTGTTAGCAGCATGGTGCTGTTAACAACATGGTGTTGTTAGCAGAGGGGATCTGTTAGCAGCATAGTTCTGTTAGCAGAGTGGTGCTGTCTGCACTGTGGTCCTGTTAGCAGCATGGTCCTGTTAGCAGCAGCATCCTGTTGGCAGCACGGTCCTGTTGGCAGCACAGACCTGTTGGCAGCATGGTCCTGTTAGTAGCATGGTGCTGTTAACAACATGGTGCTGCTAGCAGAGTGGTTCTGTTAGCAGCATAGTTCTGTTTGCAGAGTGGTGCTGTCTGGAGTATGGTGCTGTCTGCAATGTGGTCCTTTTAGTAGCATGGTCTTGTTAGTAGCATGGTCCTGTTAGCAGCATGGTCCTGTTGGCAGCATGGTCCTGTTAGCAGCGTGGTCCTGTTAGCAGCGTGGTTATGTATGAATTTAAATCAATCCAATATTTTAAGCAAATGCTTTGTTCGAGTTGATTTTTTATCTCATAATTCAACAAAATTTGCTTATTTTGATGAGTAAAAATGTATAATTGCTCATAATAGAATTATATAACTTCCATATTTTCTTCCAAGTTTGAAACATAAGACTAGCATGTGGATCTTTTTGAGCTCGTTTTTATCAGTTTTAAATGATGCTTAATGATTGCAAGCTAAACCACATTCAGCTACATTTACAATCTACGTGATCTTAAAGTAAACAGATTGATTCCAGTTATATTCAAAATGTTTTCATGTTCACCACTTGTACTCCCTAACAAGCAACAATGAGCTTGTTGCTGTAGGCTCACAGCTCATATAAATAAATTTAAAAAATCATCCCAATGTGAAAAATACTCATAATGTTCCAACAAACTGACACGTTTGTCTTTCTGCTGTAAAGCCTCAGAGTTACTCTCCAGTCCTGCTTGAGTTTAGCACCACACTGAGATGGACATGGGGAGAAATTGGACTTTTCAAGGTGAGATGACTGATCTGAGAGCAGTTCCTTGTGTTGCAGCTGTTGTTGCTGTGGGGGGTTTGTCTCTCCAGCCAAGATGCAATTTAGGAGTTCTCGGCCAGCACAGGGCTTTTGTCTCTTAATAACTGCCACTGTTATGAAGTGTTGACAACTAATATCAGGGGATAATTTAGGCAGTTTGCCCAGCCCCCACCACCATCACCACCACTTTATTAAGAACCTGAATGCATTCAATTTCTGCCAGCATGCAGCCCAGTCGCACTGCAGCTTCTCTATCTCAGTTATTCTTAGTTTTCACATTAATATTAAGGGTGCCATTGCATTAGCACTGAAACACCATAATCCTGTTCAGAGTTTGTCTAGTTTCTGATCATGCAGTTCTGCAATAAAATGTGCAATTTATCAACTAAAACATGTGGCTTAGTAGGAATTACATGACTTTTGGTATTGGTACGTTCCACAGCGTAAACTAAAACTGCAACAATCTGCACAAATGATAAAAAAAAAACCACAACCCAAAGTTTAAACGAGTCTAAGAAACTTGCACTTTGCACGGTTAAACTAGCATTTTAATAACTTTTAGGGGTTTTACATAATCACAGTTTAACATTTATGATTTGTACATACATTTCCACAAAATGTTCAACTGACAGTCTCATACTAAGATTTGATCTGTCTATTTTTTCATATTGTTTGAACAAGGTTCTTAGTGCCACAACTCTCAGTACATAATCTATACATCAAAACATATAAGCATTTTGTCTCAGCTTGTTCTCTTCAAAACTCAAAGGGAACAATCCTATCAGTCTCAGGCTGATTATTTTTCAAGCATCTCTAAAATATTGTTCAGCATTTGTTTGTTTGAGCCTTACTTTTCAATTTGTTTTGTTGTCTGCCTCTGATTGTGTTGGCAAAAAGACACAAGTGACATCAAGTGACTTTAATGTGCCGCTGGTTTAAACCATTTTTAGATTTTAGTTGCTTTTGCTCTGCTTGTAGTTTATGGATCAATATGTGGCCATTTGATTACACAATGTACACAATGTTTAGTACTACTTTACCAGAAGGCTCCCCTTATAGATGCTAATAAACATTTTATAGATACGTTATTAATTCCTGTATAAACGCTTTATAAACATTGATAACTGTGTATTAAGCATTAATTAAGGGTGACAGAGAAAAAAAAAACTGACCAGTTTTTTGCTAAATAGTGAGTCAAATCTGTTCACGTATATATTTCATCTAGAGTTGTTAAATTAAACATGTCAGACTAAGTTATTACCTTAGCACAATAAGCATTTGTAAACCTAAGTTTTTAAGATATAATATTAGTTGAAGATATGTATAATGCAGTGATAAAGTACAATATTATATCCTAAAAAACTTAGCTCTAGATGAAATATGTAGGTGAACAGATTTGGATAACTATTTGGCAACAAACTGGTTAGTTTTGTCTCTGTCACCTTTAATTAATGCATATTAAGCTGTTATTAATGATTTATAAAGTGTTTATAAAGGAAATAATAATGTATGTATAAACTATTTATTAGCCATCCATAAGAAGAGCCTTGTTGTAAAGTGGTACCCAATGTTTTTGTTGTGACCTGGTGTTTTTTTACTTCCATGTTCACAGTTTTTCTCTGTTTTCATGCCATATTAATGCAAGATTGATTTAAAAAATATATATATATTTATTTTATTTCTGCTTAGCATCAGCAGGAACTGAGAGTGGCAGCGGCGGGGAGAAGAGTCCCACTGGAGGCTCCTCAGCGTCATCGAAGCGAGCTCGAACGGCCTACACCAGTGCTCAGCTTGTTGAGCTAGAGAAGGAGTTCCACTTCAACCGGTACCTGTGCCGCCCACGGCGTGTGGAAATGGCCAACTTGCTCAACTTGTCCGAACGTCAGATCAAGATCTGGTTCCAAAACCGACGCATGAAGTATAAAAAGGACCAGAAGTCAAAAGGTTTGAGCTCCAGCTCTGGAGGACCATCACCAACGGGCTCCCCTCCTCTGCCCATGCAATCTTCTGCCAGCTTCCTGAACTCAATGCATCCCATGGGAGGTGGAGGAGGGGGGGTGCCTGCCTACGACACCCCTTCTCCACCAACATTTGGAAAGCTCCATCAAGGAGTATCTTATTCTATGTCCACTGCCTATTCCAATGTTCCTATGAAGGGCTGCCCCACCCAGAAGTATGGTGCCCCAGATCCAGACTATGGTGACCCCCACCATAGCTTAGTGCAGTCCAACAATGCTGGCTATGGGACACCTACTAACATGCAAGCCAGTCCAGTCTATGTTGGGGGTGGCAGCTACGTAGAACCCATGCCTGGCTCGGGTCCCTCCATGTATGGGCTAAATCACCTTGGTCCCACACCGCCCCACCACCAAAACATGGACTACAATGTCGGAGGGTCTATGTCAACCGCCAACCAGCACCATGTGGGTGGAGGGGGGCCCCAGGGTCCCTGTGATCCACCCACACACCCGACTTACACTGAGCTGTCAGCGCACCATACCTCAACTCAGGGCAGAATCCAAGAAGCACCCAAGCTCACCCACCTGTAGCAGGTTTGAAACAATGTAGAAATGTAGGAACTAATAAAGACTAAACATAACTAGTACCACGACATGACTCACTAACAGACTAACATATTGGGACTCAGCTGCTGCAGCAGGACAGCAGGAACGACAAAGCAAGACAGGCAAAAGCCATCCAGTGGTTTGTCATATGTTACAATCAGTAAGAATCAGTGTTTAACATTGTCCAGTCCCCTCTGTGGTCCTGCCATGCTACAAGCAAAAGGGTTTGACCTTTTATCATCACGCTGACAGAGTCGTTACTAAACTAGGAGGAAAAAATCGTATCTGTTGCCCAAAAAGCTGGGATGTTTTAAAGTTTTCCCTAAAACAATTTCTTTATTTTTAGCAAAAGACATTTTCCAGTCTCATGTCTTCTTTTATATATTTTTACATTTCACAATACAATTAACATAAAGTAATGTTTTGAGTACAACTTCAAACATTGTTCTTTCAATTGAGTAATTTCAAGTATTTTCTAATTTAAAGTCAAGTATTTACCAGCTAAGCGTGCACTGTCTTTATTCGGTGCTTATTGGAGGCACTGAAATCAAGGCACGCAGTCGATTCCAATGCTGGCCTGCATCTTTAATCAGTACCATTGTTCAGAATAAACAGATGTTAGTTTTTAACTACAGAAAATTCTTGGTCAGAATTAGCAAAAATGAATCTAAAACTCTAGGACATTGTTTCTATATTTAAACAAAATACATGTAGCAAATTAGCAAATAATTAAATATCTCTGATCCACTGATTTGTAATGGAGTGGTGGACTTTCCTGAATAGTTTTTGTGGGTGGTGGAGTAAATGGCGACAGTAGTAGAGCTAGCATAGTTTTAAAAAACATAAAATAAAATAAATAAATAAATAATGAGTATGGATGCTGTGCGGTTCAAAAATGCCATTCAATGCCAAAATTTCCCCCTAAGACACGCTTAAGCACAACTCTGCATTACAGTAGATGAAATAGTGGAGGTTTTAATGGGCAGTTAACGAGGTGGTTAGATTTATTATAGCCAGTTCTCTCCCCTGCAGGCAACACATGTTGTTGTCAGCGGAGCTGAGCTATGTGGAGTGCTCTGCCTCTCCATCAGCTGGAGCGAAAGGCGGAGCGGAGGTGCACAACTGGAGCTGGCAGCACCCATCTTCCTTTGTGGCCCCTGTTTTATGAAGCACATCAAAACTACTGGACGGCCTTTCATTCACTGTCTCTTTCTGCTTCCTGCAGTACCTGTCTCTGTCTGTCTAGACTGAATCATTACTAACCCAGTCTCTCCCTGTTCCCCCACCCTCACAATGCACACACACACTACCATACACTCACACATACATCATTCCCCCTGTTGTAACAGGATTTAGGAACATGTGAGTTCAAAGCCTAAGCCAGCTTTGAGAGGCTACAGTCATGGCTATAGAGCAACACTAAGCTAACTTCCTCTCACATCCACACCGAGAATCTGCCAGCTGCTGACATCCTCAAAAACACGAGTGAGCATGGAAGATAAAGTTTAGTGTGCTTTTTTGTTGGCACATCGTCGAAACAGGGTAAATAATAAGAGATGTGAGAAGTTTTTATTTATGTTTAAGTGGCTCATTGACATCCCTCCACTCCTAAGCCCCGTCCCATTCCTTACTTTATGGGATGCCCATGCATAAAGTTCATTTATAGTTTTTCTTTGTTTTTGTTCCCCATGTCCTGACTTTTTAACGTGGAAACAGGGTATATATATTTGAACAAAAAAAAATGCATGCCCCAGGAATCCGAGCAGATGTGTAAAAAATTCCTTTTTAAAATAACTGGATTTATTGGTTGAAACTTCCAGTGAGGGCATTTTGGGATAACTCAAGTCAGACTCTTCCATTTCACCAGAGGAGTGGCCCAGGCAGCGCTTGGTCCCCATTTCACTGACGTTCAACAAGTAAATCCATAAGGTTGTATTAAAATGTTAAATTTTACACAAATGTTTTGTACACCTGGGCATCATTGATGCACTTAGAGTTTACATTTTGATGGTTAGAGGTTAAAAGATAATAATAAAATCCTATTTTGAAGACGGAAGGCCTTCCAATCAAAGCGTCTTTCGCCAATGTGTGTTCAAGCGAACATTCATATATAAATATTTATTTGTTATAGCCAGTTTAAAAAGATTTTCTGTTTTGTATTGATATTATTTATCCTTCATGTATTTATATTGAGAAAAAAAAAGACTGTACTTTTTTAGTATTTACCTGTTAAGAAAAGAAAAAAAAAAACATTGTGTTTCCTCTTGTCCGTTGTATTAAAATTACTTTTCACGTTCTTGTATTTTAGAAGAAAATAAGTAGCTTTTGTTACTATTATGACCCTTGTACATAAATGTCTTGACATGTACAAGGAAGAGGAGCGTGCTGGGGATTGGTAACCCACACAAACATAGTCGGAAAATAGAGACAAACTATTAGCCGGAGAAATGAACAAGGAAACTCTTTTTTGTCCTTTGTAGTTCTTTTTTTTATTGTCAAGAGAATTGTCTGTCAAACGATCTTTAATAAAAGTTTATGTTATTCAGAGCAATCGTCATTTTTTTAAGATACACAAGAGCAAAACAAACCATAGAGTGTTGGTAAATAATGTATGTATATAAATATATATATATATATATATATATATATATATATATATATATATATATATATATAAGCAAGTGGTTTAATATTTTACCAGTCAAGGTAAAATACAAGTACTTTTTATTATTTATTACTTTTTCAACGTTTTAGATGCAGTGCTATAAAAACAGGTCAGCGATGGTTGCTATGGTTACACTTTGGATAAACAGACCACCTATATTATTAACAACAACAAATATGATGATGCAAGATAAGATGAAAGATTCTGCCATAAGTTATGATTTAAGAACCGTGAAGACAAAACATGACATCACCTCAGCTGAACAAACAGCTTGAATCAGTGAGAAGTCCTCGGATCTTCTCTGTACGTGGCAAGCAGTGAGACCTTTAACAATCCAGATCACTTCTGGAGACTACATGTGTCACAGCGTTAACAGCCCTGACCGGGACTTCTGTTCTTTAAGAGCTTTTACCAAACTAAAAGTTACGTTAGGAAGAAAACTCACCAAAATTACAAAAAGTACAGACATATTCACATAACACTGATTCACACATCCATGGCAGCATACTTCTTGTAACTTCTGTTCGTAAAACATTACCTCTTTGTCCTTCCATTTGTTTCTTTTCGAGCTCAGCTTCTGTGCTGGAACAGAAAACAAGAGCTCATGATCCTTTCACTCAGGACCGCGTGATAATGTTGAGCCAGTGTTCCCGCCTTTCTTCACCCACGCACAGACAGAAGGAAACCCTAAGAGGCCTGAGCCTGCTCCACGTGATTGTTGACTCTAACCCCACCTCTGCTTGGTCCCCTTTCCGTCTGTTTCATCCCCTCAGAAGCCTGAGAACAGCAGAAAACTTGGGACATAAATCAGGATGCCATAAATAACGGCTGTACTTCCCTTTACATGTCCTCTGGACTAACAGACAATAAAAACAGCAATAAGCAGAGATTGGCTCTAATTTATTGCCTCATAAAAGCAGCTTGGTAGGTTTAGAGAACAGAGCAGAGACCCATTCCAGTCCGCTTAACACACAACTCTTCTTTTACTCATCGTACGATGGGATGGAGGCAAATATATAAGTGTCATCAGATAACATATTTTGAAAATAGATGTCTCTGTTTGATACTGTACTGTGAGAGCAGAATTTATATTATTATTATTATTATTACTATTATTATTATTATTATTATTAAGGACACATAAATAATAATAGTAATTTACGCTAGGTGTTTTAGTGGTAGCTGACAATAATATTCATTATTGGGCCTATTATTTTTTGACTGTCACACGTTGTTGAAGTAAATTAATATTGTTGTTTTATTGTTTAAAAGTGAGGGTTTGTTAGATGTGCCTGTAAATATAGTACAACAAACATTACAATGAAATAAATGAATAAATCCAGTCTGAGGCTCACCATGTCTGGACTCAGATCAGTGTTTAGTTCTGGTGAAGGAGGATGAAAAACAAAACTAATGTTTTTGTGAAATAAATAATAAAATGAAGGACAAACATTCAGGCAGCATCCTTTCTGCTCCGGTCAGTGGCCTCTCTCCCACACACATTTCTGCGTGTTTTGTCTGTTTTCTCAGCCGGGGGGAGCGGGGTGGGGGTGTGGGGTCCAAACTGAAAGGGAGAAAAGGGGGAGGCAGCTTTTAAATGCGGGGTTAGTTTGAGTCCTTTATATTAAATAAAATCAATCGAACGTGTTTTAGGCGCATTTAGAGCAAATCTGCTGCAAAGTCCAACATGTGTCTGAAAACAAGAGGGATACGTTTCCTGGTTGTTTGTGTGTGTGTGTGTGCGCGCGCGCGCGTGTGTGTGGGGGGGGTCTGTCAGTCTCTCTGTGGGAACGCAAAGATTGATCACCGCACAGACTCTGCTCCTGTGCCTTACATCTGACTTTAGTTTGATTTAAGGGAACTTTTAGAGCTCCTCGTGATGTGGAACCTCCTCCCCGTGCGTGAAAAACCTCGCGCGCATTCTTCACAGAGAGACGCAACATGAATTGTATTTATTTTAGAAGAGTTTATTCTAAGGCGAGATAATATTTGGACAGTGTTTAAGTCCCCCCCCCCCCCCCCCCACACACACACACACACACTGTTTCACATACTCTTCACTTTAAACGACTTTCAGTTTTAAACTTTTTTGTTTGTTTACAGTTTTTACACTCACATGAACAACAGTAACAGCAGCTACAGGGTAAATCTACTGAGACTGTTTTTATTTGTCAACAGAAATATTTGTGTCAAAAACTGAGCAGAAACTTACACAACCTGCTTTAACCTAAGAAGCGCGTGGAGCTGAGCAGAAGTCTTCACCCTCTCCTCCTGAGCTGTTGGACCATCTAAGCCTCTCAGACTGTTCTCCTGTCAGAGCTGGGAGCTGTGGAAGCTGTGGGAGCTGTAAACCTGTTTGTAAACGAGGTGGGTCAGCTTCATTCACCTCGTGCTGTCCGACATTACATCAGCAGCAGCCTGGAGGAGAATCAACACCCAGAACCGTGCACGGGCCGGGGTGCGCCGACCTGCCGCCCACACGGCGCACATGGCCACCGGCAGCGCCCCCCCCCCCCCAACAGAACAATAGCAGATGTAGCTTCTCTTTGCCATGAAGCTTTTTGGGGAAAAATAATCATGCTTCCCACAGACGTCGAAGCCGCTAGGCCTTGGGCTCTGATTGGCTGCTGAGGGGTCACATGACCAGGAATTGGCTGCAATTTCTCCCCACAGTTGTTCAGTTTAGCCTACCCAGGTCCCCATACGCTACTAATATAACCAATATACACAATTATCATATAGTCGCCGCACTGACACCGTTGCAGCCCGGAGCTGATGTGCTTTTGTTTTTGTTTTTCATGCTTTCTTCTCATTGAAAGCCATATTGGGTGGTGTGCGTGTGCGCGCGTGCGTCCAGGACTGTTTCTTTTTTTATTTTTTTTGTTTTGGGGAAGGATTGTTCTGGGGTCTCGCCGTGTGAGGGGGGGACCTGGTCCGAGGGAGCTATGAATTTTGAATTCGAGAGGGAGATCGGGTTCATCAACAGCCAGCCGTCCCTCGCAGAGTGCCTCACGTCCTTCCCCGCCACCCTGGACTCATTTCAAACTTCATCAATCAAGGAGTCGACAGGAATTCCGCCTCCCTTCGAGCACACCATCCCCAGCCTCAGCCCCTGCACGCGCAGCCAGCCGAAACCGGCTTCTGGGAGCCAGCAGAACCGGAGAAGCTCCGACACAAATGGCCACCAGACGCACCACCGCGCCGCCCAGCAGCCGTGCGCGCCAGGCCAGGCCCCCCCTGCTCCGGCCACCCCGGCCGGTCCCCTGGCCCACGAGTTCCCCTGGATGAAAGAGAAGAAGTCATCCAAGAAGGGCCCAAAGCCCGGGGGCAGCTCCGCCATCATCACCCCCGCATCATCTTACCCCTCTCCATCCGCCTCTGGGTACGCTGCGGCGGGCGTCGACTCGCCCACAGGTCTGTATGCGGGCACGCGCGGGGCTCTGTGGGGTTCGGGTGCCGCATGCTGACGGTTTTTATGTATTTATTTATTATTTTACTGATCAGAAACCATGATTCAGTGCATGTATCACTCTTTTCTCTTTCTCCATCAGTGCTTGAGCGCATTTGTGTGTGTCTGTATGTGCGTGTTGTGCAGGGTTGTGATTCTGGGGGAAGTCGCACCACTGCATTATGCTGCAGTGCTTTGCACGTTTTCCCACCAAGCCTCTCACTGTTATAGGTGCACTATCAACAGGCGTACACGAGAATGTTTTCTGTCACGACTTTTAAAAATCAGATTAAAGATTAAAGAATAAAATAATCTGAGTTGAGCCTGCTGCTTCAGACTAGAGACATCATTCACAACACAACAGAAGTGGTCGCCATATTGAATGGAGGTTGGGGATAATAAAGGAGGGGGGGGGGGGAATTATGGTGGGGGTTGGGAAATATAATATACTTCTGCCTCACAGGAAACACGCTGCACACATTCCGATTTCCTGCTTTTAGATCATTTCTTTCTCTTTCATGAGACCTCCCATTCATTCAGTCATTTTTCTTATTTTGTTCTTTTTTCGATGCATGTAAAAAAAATAAAATAAAATTGAGCCAATTTATTTATCGTTATCTTTGAGTTTCATCCAACATTCTACTTTCTCTAATTAAAAAAAAATAGTTTTGTATTTTCGATCATTCAAATTATTGCTTTCTTCCTCTTTCTTTATTTTTTCGTTCTTTCGTTCATTCACGTTTTAATTTATTGTGTATAATTTAAAGGCATTTAAAAAAAATCCAGTCGTCAGCTAATGTGTGTCTTCTTTTAATTATTTTTTTATTTGCAGGCAATAAAAAATACAATAAAAACATACTTTTAATGAACTCGGT